GCTGGTAAAATATATGACAGGTCTGGACCACTCGTAAATTTTGTTCGTATCTGAAAAAAATCTTAGAATACAAAAAAACATTGGTGAATGACACAAATTCTCCTAAATCACTCGTACGCACAATTTAAGAACAAATCTGTTTGTACGAACGGTTCTTACATGAGGCCCAATGATTTTATTTTAAAAAAGTAAAACTCTTTCAGGGATATGACATCATACCAGGGTGTGAYCAGGGTTTCAATATGAGATCGTGTGATTCTGGACCGGTTTCTCCAGCCTGACTTGGGTTCTTTTGTACAGGATTCCTCTCARCATTATTATTGTTTCTGTGCTCAATAAAAGCAACAATAGGAATGAGTATCTTACCATTTTAATCAGAGTGGGGACTGTCCACCACAATATGCGGTTTAGGGGAAGGTGTTGTGGAACACTTTGACACAAATGTTCCGATCGCTTTTTCCTGCAGTAAAGAGAATATGACTTGTTGACAAAAACATGGTTTAAAAGACATTTTTTAACTGACTGTAACAAACAGGAGGAAGTATTTTGCAGGCAGTGTTCATGATGCAGAGAATTGTACTTCWAACAGGTAAACAGTTTATTACTGAGCCACAGGCGTTAAATGTCAAAGTGTACATTATATATGCAGATAAAAGTAAAAGAACAGGAAGCTTTAGCTTTAAAACTTCATGGATATTCTCCCTGATCCTGCAGTCATTAACAGCAAAAATATTTTTTATCAACATTTAACAAGCGGAGCAGATTTTTCTATTTTTGTGATATTTTTAGTTAAACTGTCCTCATTGATTTTATAACACTCCACCTGAATGAGCTGTCCTTCATTATAAAAAAAAAAAAATTTAGAAATGAGAAATTTAAATGTAATCAGGCTGAAAACTGAAGCCTGACCACACTAATGTAAAAGAAGGAGATTAGTTAATCGTCTGGGCCGGATAAATCACAGTATTTTGTTGAAAACAGCTTGACTTTAATTGTTTTTGCTTTTGTGACACGTTTTATTTTGATAAGAATTATTAATAAAACAGGTCATCCGAGTAATTAGCCCATTAGACCTTTAATTATTACAAAATTGTGATTATTTGTGCTGGTCCAAGTAAAGTTTTTTCTCTCTTTTCATCTTTTTAAATGTTCAGTGTTGTGTATTTAAGTGTTTTCCTCAGTAGTGGGCACCAGCCCGCTAAAGCGCAAATCCGCTAATTGCGGACCTAAATATTTCATTTGCGCTTTAGCGGTCTTACTAATTTTTATAATTCATAAGCAGATTTGCGCTTTCTAAAATTAAAATGCAGTACAGCTAATAACTAATCATCCACCAGTCATTGTTATCTTGAACAGCAGAAGGTATGACTGACAATGAATCACAACACACATGATCTATACAACAGCACACCTCCCAGATAAATGCATTTATTGTGAAGGTATACATCCTTGCTGACTGTTGCTTTGGGCCACGGTTCTCATTTCCCACAATGCTTTGTGTCTGCTTACATAGCAGGAGGGCAATAGCAAAAACAGTTAACGTTTGTAATCCAAACTAAAATTTTGTATGTATTGATWTATTTWACTTTACAATCGGAGCTCCTTTTAAAAAAAAGTTTAAACATTGGAGCTCAATACTTGAYGTAATTGGTCGAAGCAACGGGGTTAGAGACGCAGAAATGATTTAAAAATGTTATGCTGATGAAGACAGACATCTAGTGGTCAACGGGAGCAACTACATGGAAAACTTTAAAATCCAAGCTCTTATTTTGAAGGGAAGATTCTAGTTTCCTGTTCCCCGTGCTTTCGTTACCCGTCAGTCCGTCATGTATCCAAAATGCTTCGCTTCAGTTTTCCAATAAACAGTTTTAAAATTACTTTATTGATGCTTCTTTAATGAAAAACTACAACAAACAAAAGAAAAAGACAAAGAAGCAGCCGAACTAGCAATCCTCAACAACTTTTTAATTTTTACACCAGGAGCCAAAGGTCTGTTTCAGGAAATCACATCCCCAGCGATCGGCGGTTGTAGGATTAAGTTGCAAAAGGGTTCATACACTGCTAGTTGGCAGTGTTGTGCATATATTGTACATGAATTGTTGCCAGCTAGTAAGTGTCAAATTGAAATTGCGCTTTAAAACTAGCTTCCACTAGTTTTTCTTTGCATAGGTGCTTTTGAAGTTGCGGACCTAAATAATTTTATAAGCGCTTTAGAAATTGCGAAGCTAATTTTTGGATTAGCGCTGCCCACCACTGGTTTTCCCTTTTATGATTTTGTTGATGTATTTGTAACTTTGAGTCTTGTAAAGTGTCRAGTTTTTAGAAAAGCGCTATTCAACTAAAATGTCTTATTATTATTATTATTATAAATCCTGACAAACAGGACTCTGGTCGTTATGCGAAGCTCTATCAGACGATTGAAACGCCTTCAGGCAGACCACGGCTCCGTCCTCACCTCAACAAGCTGATGCCAGTGCTCTATTGGTTTGCGTGGATTGGCCAGCATGGCCGTCCAGTGCTCCCTCCCGGGCCCGTCAGCGTCGCTGCCCACACGACACATCCCTATAACCTCGTTATGACCGATGCTGGGAGGCGGCGCAGCGACGGAAGCAAGGAGGAGGAAAAAGAGAGAGAGAGAGAGAGAGAGAGAGAGAAAAAAAGACAAGGCTGGTTAAAAAAAGAAAGAAAAGAAAACAGGCTCATTTATCATTTGGGCTTTGGGGAGAAGAGTGCAGCAGTTGATGGGGGGATATTGAATTGTAGCTCAGAAATACAGCTCTGGATAAAAAGCTTGACGCCGACGAGGAAGCAGACGATACAGAAACACAGACCTACGATGCCAAATGGGGTGTCTACACAACATAATAGGGAGGCGGCGCGTTTCTGCACAAACACATAAAGCAGCCAAGTGATGCTGCAAGCGGCAGTAAGATAAATATTGGCAGGGCTGCACGTCTTCCCTCCCCATTAGCATAAATCATGCTTATTCATGAGGTGCCATCCATGTAAAACAGGGATCATTCACCAGGAGGTTGACTCTTGAGGGGGCYATCATCTTGTTTAACAGAGCCGCAACACCATCAAAATGTGACCCCCTCCCAAAAAAAATAAAAAAATAAAAACATGCTTTGATAAACAGCCACCTCAGTAATGACGGGTTTGTTCTTAAAGCGCCCGAAGCGTGCAAAGATATAAAAACACATCAGCTCGCTCACCAATCATAATCCATCACGGCGATGATGATGGATACACTTTCTATGTTCTCGTTGGGAATGTCAAACACCAGCGCCTCGTTGTACGTGGGGTTCAGCGTGTTCTTCTTAATGGAGGTCTTCCTCTTTTTTAGCCTCCGCCCGTCACATATCAGAGAGGCCTTCACGTACGGGTCTGAAGTTGAACCAACAAYAGGGCAGGAGAAACAAAACAAAAAGCACAAAGATGTGGAGTTAAAGATTCACACAGAGAGCGTTTGATAAGAGCTCGCAGGGATCTGCGTCTGTAACACATGAAAAGCCGTTACGAGTCGACGAGTCATCCTGTAAAAAGATGGATTCGGAGCGCGAGGAGGGAGAAGCAGTTCTGTATGCAACACGTGCAGCTCGGTGACAGCAGCCAGGAGAAATCACAGCAGCTTTTCTCTCCTACGTCAGCGTCTTCCAGCTCGCTTCCATCATGTTGGGATCAATGTAGCAATAATACCAGATAAATCTGCCGCTCCCCTTACAGCTCATTGAAACGGGGCTTCATTTCTCCTGAAAAGTGATTCACTTTAAAGCAATTGTCTGCTATTTATCCGCATGCCKCTGGGATGCGACAGAGTAAACAAAGAAATGTGAAAATAATTGATTTGTTGTTTATTTTGCGAAGCTCTGCTAAAACAGCACAAACAAATTTGTTGCCTTGAAGAGACTAATAATCTTTTATTACAGTTGGGTTTAAACCAAGTGTTTCACCTTTAATTAGTATCACAGGTGCCGTCAAGCTTTCCACCTATGGAGGACCGAATCTGACATAATTAAAAATAAAACCAGAACTACATTATATAAATGGAATTAAATGAGGAGAACTTTACCTCGTGTTTTATAATTTAACTGACCTTCAAATTCATTTTTCCAGCTTAGTTCCAATAAATTTTATATTTCAGCACATAATTTACATTTTACAGTTTTTAAAAATATGTATTTTTTATTTTACCTTTTACTTGTTCATCTGTATCTGTTAAATGTTTATTTTTAATTGTTCTTTTATAACTTTTCCTACAAGTCTTTATTTCCATGTGTTGCTTTTACATTTCTCTGTCTCCTGTTTTTACTTTACCATATGCATTTCTGCCTCATTACGCAAATAAGGTGGGCGGAGCTTCTTGACTCAGCTCCTCTCCTATTGGTCAACAGACAGGAAGGAGCAGGATCCATGTGCAGATCTACAGTGCATGCTGCTGCTGCCTTGGTTCAGATTAAAGTTTAGTTAAAAACAAAGACACAGGTGAGTGTTTTTCTCCTTGTCTTTGTTTTAAACTAAACTTTAAAAAAATATAAAAAATATTTAAACATAAACATTTAATAGATATAGATGCATGTACAAGAAAAAATAAAACCATTAAAATGTAAACTATGTGCTAAAATAAATAATTTATTGGAATTAAGCTGGAAAAATAAATATGAAGGTCAAATCAATTATAAAACATGAGGTAAAGTTCTCCTTTTTAATTTAATTGGTGCATTTCAAATGTATTTATTAATATATTGGTGCATTTATTTATTTCTGCTTTATTTCTAATTATGTCAGATTTGGTCTTTCATACATTAACCTTTCTGTTTGTTTAAAACGAACAAACAGACACTGCTCTGTTCACACTGAACGTTTTCTGGTCACAAAATCATTTTGAATCGTAACGAGCTCCACAGAAGCAGCAGCTTCACTATCGGCAGAAAAATACACAAAAAAGGCAAACAAAAACAAACAAAAAAAAAAAAGACAGGAAATCAGCTGAAATGCCAAAGTTTCCGCTGAGACAAAAACTAAAGCTTGTTGTTTCTGAAAAGTGAGGAATAAATTTATCTGCCTCTCTAACTGTTTGCATCATCAGTTCACCTGATTCATCTGCAGGTCTGTTTATGACAAATTTACCTCAGCTTTAGTGTTGCTGTTACTCTGTATGCTACATAAATGGAAGATCAAAGACGCAAATGACGGACATAATTTTCGAAAAACAACAGCACACAAGCGTCCTATGGTGTGTATACAAGCATCGACCATAAGTTATCCTAACTTTGGTAAATATCATCTACCTTGCCGGTTGGGCTGGTTTCTCCGGCTTGCTGCTGTTGCGGCGTGTCTCGGTGGAGTGGCAGATGTGGATGGAGTCCCTCGGATTGTCCCTCGTGTTTGGACGGAGCGACTAATCTAACAAGTGAGGCGTTCTAATTTTTGTTTGACTAATCTAACAGCTTCCCTGTTGCCTATTTGGATCAATATCAGCCGTGCCCTGTTTTTCGGTTGAGGATCAAACTGGAGCTACTGGTTTTGGTGAGCATGCTCGTGTCCAACATTGTGGGAATCATGTTATTCAAGCCTTGAAGTGTGCACCATTCAGCGAAGAAAACAGCAAGCTACTGACTGGCTTCAGAACCTCACCTGATCGGGTAGTAATTTCGGCCTATGTTACTGTTTTTCATCAGTGGACAAAAGACATTAGTGCTAAAGGCACGGATATAACAGACTCTGTTTTAACCAGTCAGAAACAACATTTAAGACTTCTKTTTAATATTCTTTTAGTCATTGTAAATATTGAACTTAATCCAGATCCAGATAAAAACGTTTTTATGTCCACTTTTTATATTTTATGGGATTTTATAC